AATATTTAAACAGAATAAATACTTCACAAAAGAAGATATGGAGGTGAAAAATAAGCACAACAATAGCCAAAAGATAGAAACAAACCGACTGTCTGTCGATAGATGAATGGATTAAAAAATGTGGTATAGACATATGATGGAATTTATTCATCCATAAAAAGGAAGGAAGCACTGACACATGCTACTATGGATGAACCTTGAAGACATTATGCTAATAATCCAGACTAAAAAGGAAAAAGAATTCATGATTCCACTGGTATCAAGTACCTAAAATGGGCAAATTCAGAGAGACAAAAAGTAGAATAGAGATTCTTAGGGGCTGGGTTGGGGGAGGTAGGAATAGGAGGTTTATGTTTAGTGGGTACAGAGTTTATGTTTAGGATGTTTAGGATGATGAAAATGTTCTGGAAATCGATAGTGGTGATAGTTGCAACAATGTGCTGAAGGTACTTAATGCCACTGAATTACACAGTTGACCCTTGAACAACATGGGTTTGGACCACGTGGCTCCACTTACATGCGGGTGTTTTTCAACAGTAAATACTGCTGGATCCACAGTCAGCTGAATCCACAGATACAGAACTACAGATACAAAGGAACTGTGTATATGGAGGAGCCATGTACAAGGAGGGCTGATTAAAAGTTCCAGGTGGATTTTCAGCTACGTGGATGGTTGGCACCCTTAACTCCCGAGTTGTTCAAGGGTCAACTGTATACTTAAAAATGGTTAAAATGGTAAATTTTATGTTCTGTGTATTTTACCGCAATAAAAACTGTTGGCAAAAAGCCCGCAGTGAGAATTCACTACACAACTATTAGAATGGAGAAAAACCTGATAATACCAAGTTCTGGTGAGGCCACTGAGCAACGAGAGCTCTTACACTCTGCTGGTGGGAATGCAAGATGGTCCAGTTACTCTGGAAAACAGCTTTGCAGTTTCTTAAAAGTTAAACACATACTTACCCAAAAGATCCAGCAATCCCACTCCTGTGTATTGACTCAAAAGAAGTGAAAATTTGTGTTCACGCTAAAACCTCTTCCTGGGGCTTCCCTGGTGGCGCAGTGGTTAAGAATCTGCCTGCCAATGCAGGGGACCTGGGTTCAAGCCCTGGTTTGGGAAGATCCCACATGCCGCGGAGCAACTAAGCCTGTGTGCCAAAACTACTGAGCCTGCGCTCTAGAGCCCTCGAGCCACAACTACTGAGCCCGCGTGACACAACTACTGAAACCCGCATGCCTAGAGCCCGTGCTCCACAGCAAGAGAAGCCACTGCAATGAGAAGTCCGCACGCCTCAACAAAGAGTAGCCCCCACTCACCACAACTAGAGAAAGCCGTGTGTGGCAGCAAAGAACCAAGGCAGCCAAAAATAAATAAATAAAACAAAAAACAAAAAAACCTCTGCATGAATGCTTATAGCAGCTCTATTCATGATCACCCCAAACTGGAAACAACCCAATTGTCCTTCAGTGAGTAAATGGTTAAACAAACAGCAGTCCATCCATGCAATGGAATATTACTCAGCAATGAAAAAGAACAGACTTGATACAGCAACAGCCTGGATGACTCCCAGAGGCAGTATGCTGAGTGAAAGAAGCCAGTCTCGAAGGTTGCCTACTGTCTAATTCCGTTTGCATGTCATCCTGGAAAAGACAGGGCTGTAAGATGTAGGACACATCTGTGATGGCCAGGGGTTAGGGATGGGGGGTATTTGACTGCAAAGGGCAGCTGGAGGAATTTGAGCGTTTGGTATTCGACAGTCCTGATTATGGTGGTGGTGGCACAAATGTACGTGTGTGTAAAACTCATAGAACTGGAGAGCACCCCTCCCATTTCAATTTTACAATATATCAATTTAAAAAGAAGTAAAAGACTTGTAAACATCTGGACCTTCTGAGTGCTCACTGGGGTCTAGACCCTGCACCGCATTCCACGTTATTACATAAGAATCCTTCACACACCCCACCAGTTGGGCTTACCATTCCCATTTTACAGATGAGGAAACTGAGGTGGGGGCCTGGGTGTGTCTGACTGCATAACTCACGCTGGTAGCGACTATGCAATTGAGAGCCTTGTAAAAGTCAAGTCCGTGTTCAGGCCGTGGGGGCAGCAGGCCTGCTTCATGGAGACTTCAAGGAGACTGAGAAGATGCCCATGGCTTCCTCGGGGATAAACCTGGATTCTGGCACTGGACAGACCACCCAATGGGAGGGGGACAGAGGCCGAGAGCCAAAGCGGATCACCCGGGCCGGCTGGCTGGGCGAGCACCGCAGGATGGCTGGAGCTGTCTGGACACTGTGCCAGGCAGGCCAAGGCAGCTGGTCACACCACAGCCGCTTCGAAACTCCTGTCGGCCAGCACAGGCCCTGCCAAAGGAGCAGCCCTGGGCCAGGACACTCCCCACCCCTGAAAGCATAGCTGAAGAGGGGGTACTGGCCAAAAGTCGCCTCCCCCAGGCTTGCCATTGGGAACGGGATCAGGAGAGACTGAGGCCCTTAGAAGGACGAGCTGAGGCTGAATGGGGTCGGGGTTGGGGGAGAGGGCCGCGGGGGGGTGTGGGGCAGTGTCAGAGGGAGCAGAGGCTGGGAAAGCAGGGGGGATGGCAGGCCTGACCGAGGTCTCAGCCACAGGGACAGATGGCGGGGGTGGACTCGTCTGAGGGACGGGTACATCGGGGCTGGCCCCAGAACAGTGTTCCTCCGAGCGTGGCCAGGATGCTGCAGGGGGCCAGCTGGAGCTGCAGTCACCTGGGCTCCCACCAGGCACACGGGGGGCCCCAAGTCTGAGGGGCTCTACGCCCAGTGAGGCGTCCAGAAGCCAACGTCCCCTGCAGCCTCGCTACCTGCGGCAGCTCTCAGAGGTGCTTCCCCTGTTGCCCTCCCTTGCACCCACCAGAGGTAGCCTGGAGCACTACGGAGGTGCTCTGCACCCAGGGCCCTGAGCGCCGCAGACAGCAACCCTAGCCCCCGTAAGACTGAAACCCAGCCACGTTGGTCTCCTTGCGTCGGACTCACTGCAGGCTGCGCCATCCAGGCCCAGGCCCACCCCCTTCTCCCAGCATTTCCTAACGAGGGTCGGGCTTCCTGCGCAGCTGAGAGCTGGGCCCCACGCCTCGGGCTCACAATGGCTTTGCTCTGGCAGCAGCCCTACAAGGTAAGTCCGCCCTCACATCACCCACATTTTCAGGGGAGGAAGCAGAACCCATGGAATGAGTGTCCAGGCCACTCTGGGTGACCCAGCCAGTCTCTGGGTGCCACGGTCTGAGCCCAGAGCCCTGCTCTCAAGCCCGTTCCTACTGCTGTCCCAGGAGGGTTGGTTTCTTCCATCCTTGCGTCTTCTGGACCCTCTGCAAGCTTGGGGCAATTCCTGGGTGTGGGGAGCTGCAGGCTCGCCTCCCTGCCAGGCTTCAACCTCGAGCTGAGTTTTTCCCGTCCCACTGCCTACGTCCTGAAGCCCCGCTGTCCGCAGCTTGCTGGCTGGGCCCCACCTGCTCCAGCCTCACGCCTTCCCTCCTCCACCCTGCTGGCCTTTGTTTATGTGGCCTGTTCTCCCCTCCCCGACCGCCCTCCCCCACCGGCCTGCACCCTGATTGTGGGCCAGCCCCTGCTTCGCGTGCCTCTGGTCAAACACCATCTGGGAAGGCCTCCTTGACTTTCCACCAACCCGCTAGAAGCCTATTCTAGAACCTGGGACCACTGGCTTGTGGGTCTGGCTCCCTTTAGACAGAGAGCTCCCCTGGGCAGGTGCCCTGTGGGGCCAGCTAGACATCCACAGCCCCTGGCAGCACGGGGTACGTGGGCCCATTCCGGGGGTTCTGGTGGGTGAGAGAGGGCCGGGGAATGGGCTAGATGGAGGGAGAAATGTTTGCAATGGCCTACCTAAATCATATGTCATTCTCCTACTGTGGAAATGAAGGAAAACCGAGACCCGTTATTACTCCCTTTAATCACAAAGAACATCCGATTGGAAGAATCTCTGCGGGGGGGGGGGCGTAAAAGGAAAACTGAAGGGTGCCCCCTCCCATCCTTCCTAGTCCCCTCCCCTGGGCACCTGTGACAGGGATGAATCCTCCAGAGACTGTGCCCGCAGATTCTCACTTTCTCCCTACACACAGCTTTATTTTACAACAGTTGTATTGTTCTCTTTCTCCATGTGCCATGGCGGCCGTCCCTCCACTCACGACGCCCCCAGCTACCTCCTTCTTATGGAGGCTGCAGAATGTTCCAGTATCCAATGTACCATGACGGATTCACCTCTTCCCCTAGGGATGGACATTTACGTTGTCTCTAATTATTTCATCCTTATAAATAATGTTGCTGTGGGACCTCCCTCGTGGTCCAGTGGTTAGGACTCTGTGCTTGCACTGCCGGGGCCGGGGTTTGCTCCCTGGTCGGGGAACTAAGATCCCGCAGGCCTTGTGGAGTGCCCCCCCCCCAAAAAATTGTCGCCGTGAACTTCCTTGGGCAGCCTGCAGCCTTCTGCAGCTGTTTCCGAGGGAAAGATTCCCCGAAGGGAACCGCGGCAGGGTCTGTGTGCTCTAAATGGCACTGAGGTCCATCTTTCATTTGGGTTTTAGGGACTACTGTTTCTATTATTTAAATGGCATTCCTACCTTTGTAGTCCCTCCTCTTTGGTCCCCGGACAGCGTTAACGTGAATTGAGGTCCGGGATTAGAACTATAGCCAGAACATCCACGCCCCACTCCCTCTGCCCCAGACCGTGCCAGTCGGCCCCAATTTCGAGTTTGCTCCAACTTCCCAAAGCGGGCCCACAGCGGGGAACGCCTGTCCCATTTGCTGGGAGCTGGAAGCTCTGGCAACGGGTATGGGTGGAGTGGGGTGCCCCTCCCTGCCGCCAGTTCCATTCCCCCAAGGTCAGGCTCACACAGGAAGACAGCTGCGAGGAAGCCCTGGCTGCTGGCCAGCCTTGGAGAAGCCTTGTCCACGGTGCCTGCAAATGCGAGGCCCTGAGCTGTTTGCAGGGGGATTTAAAAGCCCCGAGGATGGAGGCAAGTGGGGACGCAGATGCAGGGGGCACCGAGGCTCCTCGGGGGGAGCCAGGGCTGGAGGGAGCGTGCCGGCAGCTGCAGCCGGAGCGCCTGGGCACAGACTTCGGCCCCTGGCGTTTCCCCTGTGTCAGCTTTTCTATTTTAGGCCGGTTGCTCCTCGTCAGGGAATTCTCAGCGAGCCGTGGGAAACCCAGAAAGGCGGGCGCTGGGTCTGCACGGCTCCCGCGCGCTCCTCCCCGGCCCTGGGGTGGG